CGAAGCCAGTCCAGTGAAATAGTTTGTGAGACCCTACTTCAAAAAAAAAAACCATCACAAAACAATAAGGGCTGGTGGAGTGGCTCAAGGTGTAGGTCCTGAGTTCAAACCCCACTACCGAAAAAAATCCTCTAAATTCTAACTTTGCTTCTCCCCACATTTTATGTTGTTGGGATCACAATTTACATCTTTTATATATTGTATGCATTAAAATTTATTGTAGCTATGCTATTTTAATACTTCTTGCTTTTAATTTTTATATTAGAGTTAAATGTCATTTGCATACCATCATTACAGTATGAGTATTTTGAATCTGGCTATATTCTCACTTTTACAGTGAGTCTTAGATTTTAATGTTTTTACATTGTTAATGTCCTTTCATTTCAACTTGAAAAACTCTCCTTAGTATTTCTTGTAAGGTAGGTCTTGTAGTGATGAACTCCCACAGCTTTTTTTGTCTAGAAAAGTCCTTATCTTTTCTTCATTTCTGAAAAACAGGCTTGCCATATACCCTTGGTTGGCAATTTTTTTTTCTCTCAGCACTTTGAATGTATCTGCTCACTCTCTCCTAGCCTTACAAGTTTTTGCTAAGAATTATGCTGGTATTCTTAAAGAGGTTCCTTATATTTGCATATTGCATATATTTGTATATTTGTTTTTGCCTTTATACTTTCAAAATTCTCTTTGTCTTTGACTTTTGATAATTGATTATAATGTGTTTTGGTGAATATCTTTTCTTCTCCTTTTTCTTCCTTCTCTCCCCTCCTCCTCTTCTTTCTCTCCCTCATCTTCCTCTTCTTCTTAAGATAGGGAATTGTTAGGTAGCCCAGGCTGGCCTCAAACTTGCAACCCTCCTGCCTCAGCCTCTCAAGTGATGGGATTACAGGTGTGGGCCATCAGGCCTGGCTATAAAGATCTCTCTCTCTCTCTCTCTCTCTCTCTCTCTCTCTCTCTCTCTCAGTGGAACTGAGGTTCTAACTCAGGGCTTTGCACTTGCAGATTCTCTACCACATGAGCCACAACTCTATTACATTTTGCTCTGATTATTGTGGAGATGGAGTCTCACAAACATTTCGCCTGGGCTGGCCTGGTACCAAAATCCTCCTGATCTCCCAAGTAGCTATGATTATAGGCATGTGCCACTGGTGCTAGCTAAGATCTTATTATATTTAATCTACTTTGGGCTCTTGAGATTCATGGATCTGGATGTTCATTTCTCTCTCTAAATTTGGTGAATTCTCCCTGTCATTATTTCTTTAAACAAGATTGCTTCCTCTTTGCTCCTTTTGGTACTCCCTCAATATTTATGTTAGTCTGTTTTCATGGTGTCCATATTCCTGCAGGCTTTCTTTACTTTTTAAAATTTATGTTGCTTGTGTTCCTTTACCTGGGTAATTACAAATGATCTGCCTTCAAGTTCACTTACTCTTTCCTCTGTTTCAAGCTCACTTATTCTTTCTTCTGTTTCATTAAGTCTGGTGTTGAAGCTCTATATTCAGTTTTTCAGTTCATTATATTGTTCAGCTCTAGAATTTCCATTTTGTTCTTCTTTGTGGAGTCTATCTCTGTTGAACTTCTCATTTTGTCTATTGTTTTTCTGATTTTATTTAACTGCCTATCTGTAGTCTCATGCAGATCTCTATTTCTTTAGGGTTGGTTTCTGGTTGTTACATTCTGGTTGGTTACATTTCCCTGATTTTTGATGATTCTTTTAGCCTTTCATTGCTATCTGCACACTTGAAGAAGTAGGCCCCTGTTCCAAAGTCTTTACAAATGGTTTGGCAGGGAAAGAACTTCAGCAGGCAGCTTGTGCAAAGATTCTTGGCAGGGGGAAAGCACCTGGTGGAGCCCTTAAGTCAGTGTGCTGCTAGAGTCATTAAGCAAACTGGCCTGTTGCCTGGGTCCAGTGGATGGGTCTGTTACCTAAAGGGACCAGCCTGGTGTCTAAGTCCACTGGGGTGGGCCTGGAGCTCTTCTGGTATGAATCTGCATCCATGGGGATCAACCTGGCACTGGACCAGACCTTGAGCTTAAGTCCATTGGGAGGCAGTTCAGTGCTAGGGATGAGCTTGAAAACTAGGTTCATGGAGAAGAACGCAGAGTCTAAGTCTATGGGGGCCACCTCAGCATTGCAGTAGGCTGGAGCTTGGAACCATACTGGCAGTTATAGAGCCTTGTCTCATGAAGGATGGTCCAGTAGCAATGTCTGCTAAAGCACGCCTGATCCCTGGATCCACTAGAACCCAAGTCTGTAGAGTCAGGTTTAGAGTCAGAGTCTGAGTCTGTCATGGTTAGCTTGGGTCTAGTGTCATGGCAGCTGTCCTGGCATTGGCTGGGCCTAGAGGCTAAGTTGAGGCCTGGGGCCTTGGAGACTGGGCTGGGTTTGTGCTAGTGTCCACAGCAAAGTTGGGTTCTCACTTCACTCTCTTGCTCCACTTGGATGCCTTAGATCTTGTGAAGGTCTTTTTAGGAGTGAGGCGTGACTTGATTTTTCTGCAATGGGAAGAGTGCTGTAAGTCCTATTCTTCTATCTTGCTGACATCTGTCCTGGGTCATGTTTTAAATTATTACCTGCTCAGTTAGCCTCAGATTTATAATGAAAACTACTCCTCTCCTCACACCTCACACTACTAGGTTAATATTCTGAATTATAGCTTTCTTCATATTAGTCCTCTGGACAGAAATCTGAATCCCTCCTCTCCTTGACTTTACTTAGTTATAACTCCCTATTGCTCACCAGCCCAGCTCCTTTCTTAATTTAGTCTCCTTGTCCTTTGAAAATATCAGATTTCTCCCACTCACCTATGTACATTAGCTGAGGCACTTGTATACATTAATACCCTCCCTACTGTACCCTGAATATTCTAATGATAGCCAACTGTCAATGTCTGGCTTCATTTACACTTTTCTCAGGATCTCCTTGAAACATATACGGTCAAGTAATTTTCAAAAATGTTAGCAAGAACATTCAATAGGGGATAGTTTTTTTCAACAAATATGAGGAAAACTGAATGTTCACATGCAAAAGAATGAAGTTAACCTCTTACCATACACCCATATTTGTAAGTAGCATTATTCACAATAGTTCAAAAGTGGAAGCAAGTCAAGTGTCCATCAATGGAAAATGTGGTATACACCTAAAATGCAGTATTACTCAATCTTAAAAGGAAATTCTTATATACACTACAACATGGATCTTGAAAATACTGTGTGAAGTCCAATGTTGGTTGACTGCCAAACATTGACAGTCAGAAAAGGACAAACATTGTATGATTTTATTCATGAACCACTTAGAGTAGTAAAATTCACAGAGACAGAAAGTAGATAGTGGTTGCCCGGGACCAGGAGAAGGGGAAATAGAGAGTTATTGCTTAGTGGTGATGACTGCACAACACAGTGTGAATGTATTTAATGCTACTTAATTGTATATTCAAAAATAATCATTTTGTTATGTGTATTTTATCATGATTAAAAGTTAAAATGTACCCATATCCACTGATAGCCAGTTTTTCTAGTACCTAGGGCACAGAGTTCTTCATATTGGAAGAAATCTTGGATCCTGTAATAAAAGTCTATGATTGGATGACAAAAATGTGCAAATTGTGTATTTGCACACTTAGTCATATACTAGATGGAAGAACCAGTTCTATATAGTAAGTCTTGTGAAGAAATTATGATCAAATCATATGATGGATGATAGATGTGTGACTTTGTGTATATATTTTAGAACTGAATCATTACTTTAAGTACACAGCATAGTAAGTAGTAAATAGATTTAGTAAAATAGACAGATAAAAGACACACAACAAATATCTCAGTTATTTTTCAGTTTAAAAAATTTTTAAAAACTTAAATGCTGAAAACTGAAAAAACATTAAATAAAGAGCAAAAATATCCCTCTTCCTCTTCTTCACTTCTTGGTCTCTCACATTCAGTCCCAAATATGAAAGTTAATCTGTCCAATCTGGACAAAATTTTTGTATTACTATATGAAAATGAGAAAAAATTCATGACTATTTGCAGCAAAATGTGAGCCTAGCAAAACCTGACCTTGACCTGAGACTACTTTTCAAAATCACACTTCATTCCTTGTAGTACACATACTTATACACTTTAAAAATGTATTTTAAACTTCTAATATGGAAAATTTCTAACAACTATAAAATTAGAGAGTAAAAATCTCAAATACCTACAAAACGGCTTCAATAATTTTCTCTAGAGGTGTCACATACATCCCTTAAGACAAATTCCAAAACACTGTTTTTTAAAAATTCAAAGAAATTCTGAGTTAAAAATATATGCCATAGCTAGGCATGGGGGATGTATGCTGAATTCATAGGTTAAGGGCCACTAACATTTTACAATACTGAGTCTTCCCACTAAAAAATTAGAGTATATCAGGAAAATTATTTGAGTTGTGTTTTTTTCTTTTGCATCACTGGGGTGTGAACTCAGGGCTCAAGCACTCTACCACTTAAGCCATGCCTCCAGCCCTTTTTGCTTTATTTTATTTTATTTTTTCAGTTCAGATAGGGTCTTGTGTTTTTGCCCAGAGTTGGCTTTGGATCAAGATCTTCCTTCCTACCTCTTCCTCTTGAATAGCTGTGACTACAGGTACACAGCACCACACCCAGCTTGCTTTTGAGATAGGGTCTTGCTAACTTTTTACCTTGGCTGGTGTTGGAATGTGATCCTCCAGTCTCCACCTCCTGCATAGCTAGTATTACAGGTGTGTACCACCACATCCGGCTTTGAGATATCTTTTGTGTACCTTTTGTGTAGATCTTAAAATTGTTTAAATATAGGTCTATACACTTTTTTGTAAAATTTATGTGAATATTTTTTTCTTGTTGCTACTGTAAAATTGATAATCTCTTCCATTATGTTCAATAACCAATACTGGTTATTGTTTACATTTGGAAAACTACTGATTTTTGCATATTGATTTTATAAATATAATAATTTTACTTGTGAAAATATTTGCAGTAGTAAAACCTTACCTTTGTAAATTCAGAACTTCATTTGCAATATCTGTACCAATCCTACCGGCACCAAGTTCAGTTCCAGCAGACATTCCAGGCACTCTGAAACAAGACTGTCTAGAAGATCCTAAGCAACGGCAGAAGAAAACTCCAATTGAGGACTTTAAAAAAGTATATAGCTCTGGTTAATATCTTTCTTCTAATTCAAGTAATTTCTTAGATGTCTGCTTAAAAAAATAGACTAGCTACATCTGAAATGTCAGAAAACATGTGTCCTTGCATCATACACATAACTGGTGATGGTCTGAGGTGCTTATGACCCATGACCTCAACCAGGTATGTAGAAGTCACCTAGGACATACTAGTGATCTATAACTCTTAGCACAGTCTCTCCTCACCTTAATCTTCACACTAAAGCCAGAGCACTGCTACTTGGTATTGCATATATCCTAATGTTTTTATTTTTATTTATACAAAAAAATGTATCCCAGTGGTTAAAAAAAAAACTAACACAGATAAGCAAAAATTGCACCTTAATATTTCTCATTAATTTGTTAAACAGATACTCTATGAGCACCACAATGGACAGGAACAATGCTGCTGCCATGGAGAGAGAATTTTTAAAACACCATTCCTGCTCATGAAGAACTCACAGCCCCATGGGAAGCCAGTCAGGTGAACAGCTAATTATAGTACAATGTAAAGTTATAATGGAAATGTAAACAAAGTACTGTAGCATTCTGAAGAGGGTATGATGGTACTCCTGGAAGTTTCAAATGTGGTATGTTTCTTTTTGAACCTACTGTCTTCTAAACCAAATTTGTGCAGCCTATACCAAACCCAAAGAAATCTTCTAATTTCACCTTGATATTTTCCCTTCTGCAAGACAGAAAAAGATACTAACTTCATAATAGTAGTAATTGCCTTAATAATGTATCTCAGTAATAAGTGTTCCACTATCTAAAACTTAAGCTTACCTTCTGATGACTGAGAGCTGTAATGACATAATGATGCTTTTCCAGTCTCTCTGTGCCCCCTAGGATTAAAAAACAACATAGGTGATTTCTTTTCTACGGCGAAGGAAACTGTTAAAACAATTACATTAAGCTCCATGTATTTGACTTACCAGTTCTTGGCCCATTTATGTTTTATGTGCAGGTATTGCTAGTATCACTACTAAAAATCAAGGTATTGGTGTGCTGTGTTAGCATTTTGTCAAATGCCCTGTTTTCCTCTATAAAGTTTATGTTCTCACAGTAACAAACTCTCAGTTCATGTTCTAGTAACAAGAAAGCAAGGATTGGGATGGATGACAAGGAATACTGGAGATGCTAAAGTTTTGGTGTTTTTTTTTTTTTGTATTTTTGGTTCTATGAAAGCTTATAGCAATTTCAAAGAGAAACTTATAGAAAAACAATGAAGCTTAGAACAGAAGCATGCCGGACATTGTGCCAATCAGGAGAAGCTGGCTCTTCCTTCAGACTGACACAGCTATCAACACTGGATTTCTGCTCATCCTTTCATCGAACACCCCTGGCTTAGACGTACACACAAAAATTTGCAGAGGAAAAAGATATTTTCCTACAGTTTAAAGCCACATTCACAGGAGGGTAGGAAGGAAATGCTTTACTTTCATATATTACACCAACCAAGAAGGAGTACATTACAAGAGGGCAAAGTTTTAGCTTAATTTGAAGAATGTTAATAAAGAGTAAATGAATTACTCAAAATATATTCAGCCTTCTACATCTTTGGTCTCTGCATCTGTGGATTCAACCAACTGCAGATTAAAAATACTTGGAGAAAAATTGCATCTGTACCAATCAGGTGCAAATGTTTTCTCTTGTCATTATTATAGCATTACACCTATAGGCACACTTTACATTGCATTAGTTATTACAAATAATCTAGAGATGATTTAACATATACACAAGCATTGCATAGGTTATATTCAAGTACTACTCCATTTTATATAAGTGACCTGAGTAGTCATAGTTGACCAATCACCTGTGGATATTGAGAGACATGTGTGTGTGTGTGTGTGTGTGTGTGTGTGTGTGTGTGTGTGTGCATATCAAGTTGTCATATAAGGCCAGAGGATGATACATACGGTTTTCATGGTTTAATGAGATGAGAAAAGCAGAGATATTCATTTGAAATTAATATAAAGGTCTTAATGACATAAAAATTACTTACAAAACTAAAGTGTTGACAGATACAATATATTCCAGTTCTCTGGTCCAAGGATTAGTGAAACTAAACCACTGGCTTTTCAAAGTTACAAAGGAGCCATTTTTCACTCTGAATTTGTATGAGTCTGTAAATATTTTCTCCTTACTCTGTAGAACTAAACAAGGAAAGATTATAATCAGCACAAAAGTGTTCTACTATAAAATTGAGAATTAATTCAAGTTTCAGATTTCACAGACATGAGATCTTAGGAGTTGAAGTTGTATTACAAATTACCCAAAAAGTACCCCACTTAATACATACCCACCTGCTTTGTGCTTGTCAGTCAAAGTACTATGGTCATCTTGATGAAAATATTCATAACAAGATGTTCCCAAAAGTTCCTGAGGCAGATATCCTAAAACTGCTGTGGCCCTGGTTTTAAAATTGAAAACAAACTTCAAAATTGGTGAGTGCACTCCTTCCCAGAATACTGTCAGCCCATCCACAGTCAGGATAGCAGGTCAGTGGCCTGAGGGGACAAGCAACTTGTGTACATCCCTGGGCTGTCCTAGTCCCAGATTAGAGCTGCAAAACAGAATAGACACCCAGGCAGGCATGGCCCCCAAATCAATCCAAGGGATGACCTTCCCAACATTTATCAGCAACATTGTGGCCACTGACATGCCCACTCTCTGGCACCACTGCTTAAGAAATATTTTTCCAAGTTTACCTTTTGGTTTGAATGAATTTACTACCATACCCTTATTTCACTTAAACTTTATTTTTTTCTTGCTCTGTAACCTTAGAAAAAAAGGCAGTACTGCTACTAAGGCACATCTTTAAAGTCTCAGATATCCCACTGAACTCCAGTCATTAGCATGTAAATGTTTACCTTTGATCTACATAGACAAATTTTCCATTAATTGTAAATCGGGTTATAAATTCAGTCGGTTTCACTTTAATCTCTCCACTGTTATGTGGGATAATATATGGATGTAACCTTCCAAAGGCAACAAGGCAGGTAAAATGACTGCTGTCTTTCTTACTGTCTCTTTCTTCTTCCATTCCAACAATACTTCGAGGCCAGCTTCTCAAGTAGCCAGTGCAGTGGATGGTATAGAACTTTCTATGATCTAATTCAAAAATTTTAGAAAAGCACATTGGATCATTATGAACAAGTTATTAAATCTTTTACATTAATATTTATAGTAGCACTTATAATGATTAATATATATATATGTTTATAGTAGATTGTAAAATATTTTAGGGAACTTTTGGAAACATTTATAATAAAATGTATAAAAATAAAATCTAACTTTAAAACTTCACTTTTTGAAAATAAAAATCACAAGTAATTGACTCATAGGAAACAGCTTGTCAAACAGAGCCACCAGAATAAAAACTGTAAATAATGCTCAAATATTGGGAAACACTTAAGAAAACAATGGACTGCAACACAGGCCTACCGAGGAGTGGTGTGTAGTTTATGCACTCCTCAGAAAAGTGACCTGATGGTTAAAAAGCAGGGAAAAACCTGATAAAAATTATTTGAAATAGTAGTTGGTTATCAGATTTAGAAAAGAGCAGAACAATCTTGTTTTAAGTTGGCAAAGTCTCCCAAAAAAGAAAAGCCCACAGCTGGATGTCTACTCTGCTGAATTTTACCACTTTTGAAGAATATCTAACACCAGTGCTTCTCAAACTAATACATAGAACTAAAAGGAAAGGAACCCTACCAAGCACATTCTACAAGGCCAGTATCAACCTGTTACCAAAACCTGATAAGAACACAACAGCAACAAAAAGAAAATTATATCTGTGATGAACATAGATGTAAAAATCTACAGTGAAATATTAGCAAATCAAATTCAAAGCATATCAAAGGAAACATGCATGATCAAGTTGGTTGCATTTTAGGAATGCAAGGATGGTTTAACATATGCAAATCAATAAATGCAATATATCACATAAACAGAATGAAGTATAAAAATCATATGATTATCTCAATAGGTGAAAAAAAGCATTTTAATCAAATCAAGAGCTTTGTGATCAAAGCTCTGAACAAATTAGTAACAGAAGATCATACATCAACATAATAAATGCTTTGCATGACAAATCCACTGCCAACATCATAATGAATGGGGAGAAAACTGAAAACAATTCCTGTAAGGCACAAGACAATGGTGTCTACCCTCACAGTTCTTATTCAACACAATACTAGAAGTTTTTGCCTGAACATTTAGGCAGGAGAAAGAAATAAAAGGTGTGTGCATTATAAAGGAGAAGACAAATTATCTCTGCTTGCAGATAATATGATTTTATACATAGAAAACCTAAAGACTGACCACTTGAGCTAATTAACAAATTCAGTAAAGCAGCAGGACACAAAATCATGTATGAAGATTGGTAGCTTTTCCATACACCAAGAATGAATTTGCTAGGAAGAAATCATGAAAGTAGGTCTGTGCACAGCAGCCACATAAATAAATAAACAAATAAGTGAATAAACAAATAAAAATATCTGGGAATGTACTTTGCTAAGGAAGTGAAAGACCTATACAATGAAAACTGCAAAGCATTGAAGAAATTGAAGACACTAAAAGGTGGAAAGATATCCTAAGTTCACAGATTTGAGTAATTAATATAGTTCAAATGTCCATACTACTGAAAATGGTCTATAGACTCAATGCAGTCCCTATCAAACTTTGAATGACATTCTTCACAGAACTAGACAAACAATCCTAAAGTTCACATGAAATACAAAGACCCTGAATAGCCAATGCAACTTTGAGCAAAAAAGAGCAATGCTGGAGGTAACACACACCTGGTTTCAAAATATGCTACAGAGCCATAGTAATAGAAACAGCATGACATCAGCATAAGAAGACACACAGACCAATGAACAGAACAGAGATCCCAGAAATAAGTCATACAAATAAAAGCTACATAGTGAGAAAACTATAATCAAAAGCACAAAGATTAACAAATGCTGGTGAGGATGTGAAGAAAAAGAAAGTCATATATACTGTTGGTGGGAACGTCAATTATTACAGATCCTATAGAAGACAATTTGGAAGATCTTCAAGAAATTAAAAAGAAAATTTCCATATAATCCAGTTATCCCACTCCCAAAGATATATCCAAAGGATATGAAGTCAACATAGAAAAGAGATACCTGGATGCCATATTTAATGTGGTATTATTCACAATAGCTAAGATATGAAATCAACCTAGGTGTCAATCAACAGATGAATAAATAAAAAAAGGAAAATATGGTCATAAAAGTGAAATTCTGTCATTTGCAACAAAATGGACAGAACTTGAAGACATCATGTTAAGAAAGACAAGTATTGCATGTTGTCTCTCATATACTGAAACTGAAAGAAAAGTCAATCTTATATTGCAATACTGGTTAGTGGGGACAGAGAAGGGTGCTGGGGATGATGGCACAAGGGTGAAGAAGGCTGGATGGATATGACTGATGAACCCTGTATGCATGTATGGAGATATCACTCTGAATCCTAATAATGCAACTAATATGTATTAGTAAGAAAAAAAACTGATTCTAAGAATCCTTTGAATCTTTACCAAAATGTAGGCATCATGAGCCATAACTCTTGACAAACCATTTATTTACATCAGTTCCATAGGCCAGATCAAGTGAAATGTACTTAATGATTTTTAAGAAGGGGAGAACTCTGTATTACCACCAAACACTATCTTAATTTACAGGCCATTCTTTCAAAAATCATTTATGAAATTTTTCTTTAACAAGTTGCAGATTGATATTTTTCTCTCTGAGTATGAATTCTTATAGAAGCAGATCAGACAAGAATTCAAATATAAGCAGTTTATCAGGGGAGTGGTTCCTGAGAACACTGTAGGGAAATGAGGGAAGTGAGACAGGGAAGAGAAAGAAGATAATTTAACACTTGATCATTAAGCATCTGCCTCTCACTAGCCTGCCCGAGCTGAACTGGCCACAAAGACCAGAAAAAGGGCTAACCATTGGAAGTCAAGTGGCATGACCTGCCTGAAGTTGCAAGTACCAGGGGAGAAGTCCAAGAGCACTGGCACAAACGTATCTGTCGCACATGCACAGGACACAAATGGACTCTGTGTGCACTGCTCTACTGCTCACTAGTGTACAGTTAGGCAAGTCAGCTTAAGAAAACCTAAGACATTTGATAGCAGTTACTCGTTCTTCATTAGCCTATCTTGAGATCCCTAAGTAATTTTATCCCTATCTTGAAAGCAGAATCCATGACATCAATGTTTGATTCAGGCTAGGAATAATTTTTTTAATGTTAAGGATTTTTTTTAAAAAAACACCTTTTGTTACAGGAAATCTCAAGCAAACATAAAGTCAGAAGAACAGTATAATGAAGCCCCACTTCAGTAACTTGTCTTGAGAAATAATCTTTCTGAATCTATAATTCAGCTTCCAATTACCACAAAAGGACTACTTTCTAGTCTCTTTTTTTAATTTAAATTTAATTGACATACTATGGTAAAATGGAAGGAAAACACCTTTAAGCCAGGTTTTCACTATAATTAGGGAGTAGTCTTAGAAAAATTCCATTGGCTAATTATTATTAAAAAGAACACTTTAGTGGAAAAGTATCTACAGAATAAAATTTCACTTGACACTCTCTTTGGCTAAAGTAGGACAAAATGATCTCACAAGGAAGTCATCACGTGATCAGTCAGGAGTATATTCTGTGGTTACCTTATTCTGGCCCAGGTCCTGTGAGGACACTGATTGAACACCTGCCCGTACCATTCCTTTAGCCAAATTGTCCCATGTCTTCAGTACAAAGCACTGGTATGGAAGGCAAATACTTGGTTCAAATTTCCTTTTTCCTTTTCTTTTTTTTTCCAGTGTGACTGGAGTTTGAACTCAGAGCTTCAGGCTTGCAAAGCAGTCACTCTATCACTTGAGTCACACCTCCAGCCTATTGTGTTCTAGTTATTTTGGAGAGGCGGGTCTCATGAACTACTCACCTTGGCTGGCCTCAAAGTAAGATCCTCCCAATTCCAGCCTCATAAGTAGCTAGGCTTACAGGTTTGAGCCACTGGTGCCTGGCTTGGTTCAAATTTCTGAGATCACAAATTCCTTTCTGAAATATTTGACTTTGACTGCAGGCATCTGTGTGGCCCAGTGTGATGTGGCAGTGAGCATCCTTGTATATGCAGGACACAGTCCTATATAAGAAGCCCACTCCTATGTGGCATGCCTGGTGCAGAAATTATCCAGAATGGATATCACTCATTAAAAACCTTGGACATCTAGGAAGCTACTGTAGTAGGTGGCATGTCATAGTAGACAAAAAAATATAAACTTTGAAGCCAGATTCCTGATTCTGCTACTTTTCTGTTACTTTAGGAAAACTATGTAACTTCTTTAACTTTCATTGTCCTATTTTCAAGACAGAGGTGTTTTGTACAGGATTGTTAGGCTGATTAAATTACATGATTTTACAAAGTGCTTGGCATGTAGTAGATTACTTGTATATCCCCTCCTTGCTTTTTCATTTTTCCTCCTCTTCTTTCTGAGCCACAAACAATAGCTACCATTTGTTGAAGTGCATAGGGATGAAGCAGTGCATGAACCTCATGCAATCTGAGTAGCATAGCACTCTTCAGTGCTGCTAGTGTTACCTCTACTGTGTCAGTCAATGCAGGCTGACATAGCTCAATATCACAGACTGGGCTTAAATAATGGACATTTATTTTCTTACATTTCTGGAGGTTAGAAGTCCAAGGTCAAGTTGTTGGCAGATCTGGATTTTCCTGAGGCCTCTCTCCTTGGCTATTCTCTGTGTGTATGAACATCTCTGGTGTCTGCTCATCTTGTAAGCACAACAGTCATATTGGATCAGGGCTCCATCCTTACAATCTTGTTTAATCTTAATCACCTCTTTAAATATTCTAACTACAAATACAGAACTTCACCATAAGAATTTGGGGGGAAATGCAACTCAGTCTATAACACCTGTTTCCTGTATGTTAAGAACTCACCTAGGATTACAAGTTATCAAATGACAGACCTGACACTAAAACTGTTGAATTCAGACTCCAGGCACTTTCTACTCTGCCATAAATCCTGTCTACCACCATGGTTGCTGTGAAGCAGAGCCCAGGGTGAGACTCTAGGATACCAGAGGGACTCAAAAGATACATTAGTTCCATAAGCTCATCACAGAATTCAGCCATGAACTAATGCCAATTGCCCATTTCCAAATATTCTTGAAATATCTATATTTTCCAAGTAAGATTATCATTTATTTCAAACAAAAGAAATCTCTCTTGCCTCTTTATGTCTAAAGCTCAGTTTTTAAAAATCCTTTTAGAAATCAGATGGAAGGACTGGCTGCCTTGATTTTTTAATTTTTGCTTAAAATCCATATTTATTAGACTGCCTCAAAATACTACTGCAGACCAGGCAGTTACATGGAGGACTTCTCATTTGCACTAAATGTCTTTGCAAAGGGTTTAAAAAACAGACATAAAAATCATTATATCTCCAAGGTTATTATCAGTGGTTGACTTGGGCTTCCACATCTAAGAAAATGCATGTATTCAGTCACCATTTGTCCTGGAATGTCAAAAAACATGAGCTGAAAAAGACCTAATCTATTTTGAAATGTTTCTTGAGGAACTCTCAGGTGTTCTGATGTGTCCTGGCTGTCCTCAATATTAATATGAAGTCCTAAGACAGATGTTTAAGGCAACTGACTTAGTACTTCATAAAGCAATGACAATGGCACTTAGCTCTCATTGGATCTAATAAGACAGAAAAACATCCTTTCTTCTGCTACACATCTACTAGAGATTCAGATGCCCCAAAGGGCATTCCCAAGACCCACCTAGTATTTCTCTAATCTCTAAATCAATGATCTTCAAACATCATTTTGAATACCATAAAAATTTTAAGCATCCTTCATGTGTATAAATTATATATTTACATGTACTATTATACTAACATGTGTGCTACAAAACACAAAACTGAAATTAAAAATATAAGAGAAAAAGACAAAAATAATGTTTTAAGAACAATTTAACGATTTATTAACGATAAAATATTTTTGTTCTCTAAAAAGTATGTATTATTTAATGACCACAATATAATTATGCTTTCTTAGTTTTCAAAACCAAAAAAATTAAATTCCCTCACACACTCCACAGCTCAGTGGATGCAGAGAAGCTCTTGGTCAGTTCTGCATTATCATCAGCTGTGTTGAAATTATTGCAGGATCTGCTGAGTGTTCCCTGCATGTAATTTCTTGAAAATGTGGTATGCCTCCCAAAGAGCAAATGGTGCACAAAAAGCAAGATAAAAGTGAATGTGCTTAATTGAAGTGATCAAGTGAAAATCTGAGGTCTTCTGGAAGGCAGCATGATGGGAAAAATAAATCCAGCATCCACAGGACAGCCCTGAATTCAATGCATCCTGAGCACGTGAGATTGTCTTCCATGGTGGGCTCCTGAGAACCAGATACCCATGCATTCCAAGGGTCTACTGTGTGTTCTTAGACAAAAACAAAAACAAAACCAAGACATTTTCCAGGTCCTAAAATTCCCTACTATATTAAATAGATGAAGGTTTAATAAATTGAAAAAGTAAATATCTGAAAGACAAATGTAGCAAAGAATCACAAGAAAACAAGTATGAAAGAGTTACAATGTTTATGAAAACTAAAACCACATCTGGAACATTTTGAGAAACTTACACCAAAATTAATCAAATCTGGCTCATGTACTACTGAAAGTTTTAAAAAGAAACTTCTATATTTTAAAAAGTAACAAAAAGAGTTACATAGTGAAAGTTTTCTTTTCCTCCCTTTCTATTATTTCTGACTTGATTGATAGTCCCCAAACTGCAATTTCAAGTATAGTATGAGAGTCTTGAGCAACAAAGAAAGCATGAAATTACCTTGAAAATATGACAGGATAATCTAAATAATTTTGGCTAAAAATAATCTTACTTATTTAGGTGCTTTAGGTCTCAATTACTTGTCTTGACCATACATTTTATTTTTTCTGCATTGGAAATACAAGACATTAAATTTTATACCCATGCTTTATATCACTTAACATTTCAAAATGACCATACCTTTCTCGTTTGAGCTGGGTAAACATCCATGCTCATCTTTGATGGAAATTTTACAAGTCTTCATTCAACAGAAAAAAGATCGCCTGGAGCCAGAATACACAGGAACCTTTCTGATGTGGCAATTATTATGAATTTGTAAACCAGCTTTCATAGCACAATGGAGAAAGAGAATAGGTGGGAAACTTATTTTCAAACAGTTTAAAATTTTACCTCCTAATGTTTTCTGATCATTTACTAGAGTTTTTAAAAATAAATTGAAGAAATAGCTATTGAAAGTGATGATATGATTGTACATCCTGATATGAGACGTTACAAAAAGGGTATTTGTCAAGCAATCACATTGTGACAATGTAAAGCACTTGCAATTTATCTGTACTCCCTGGGAGGTGTATAATGAACTTAACTTAAATGAAATTAAATAAATGAAGAAAAACTCAATGACAACAGTAATAAGGACATAGAACACCAGTGTTTTTATATCATAAATAACTATTTGCACTAAGACTTTTTAGAAATCAGGCATTTCCAGAGAAGATAAAGAATTCAAAGCCCAATTATACAAGGTCCTTATACTGAGAAAATCTAACCCATATAAAGAAGAGAATAATCATCTCTCAACATATAGCTAAATAATGAAAACCAGCTATTTTTTAACCAAAATGTTACTTTCTTATAAAAATAAAGCACTCATATTTTCCCCAAAGCATCTTCATATGGATGTATTTGTTTTATATGTCTGCATGAATACAAGAATTTTCTATACAGCTATATATCTTAATCTTAGGTAAAAAAATAAAGTTTTCTGAATAATTTTGCTCATGATATAACCTTAACTAATTGCTTTCATAACACTGTTGGAGGTAATAATGACATTCACAGGAAGTGGTGAGCATGTTGACCTTTCCAGGAAGTGGTAAGCATGCTGACCTTTAAAGGAAGTGGTAAGCATGCTGAGTGAGTACTCACCTTTGGCAGCTATTACTTTCTCTCTTGGTGAAAAATCAGAAGAAGAAAGTTGTTCCTTTACATTGGCAACATCTTTTGGATGTAGGAAGTCAAATAAGCTTTGTCCAGTCAAACTAGCCTATTCAGAAGACATTCAATTAAAATCAGTACTATAACCTTTTTACATTTCCTCACACAGACATATGAAAAATATCCTTTTTTTGTTAAAGTCTGATTTTTCTTAAGCTCAAAGATATGTCCACTATATTATATAACATTAACTTAGAAGCAAGGTAATATTTATAGACAGAGAAAAGATGCATACAGAAACATAACTGGATATACACAAGCCACATACAAATGCTTACTGGTAACACTCTGTTAAATTCTGCTACTGTACTTTAACATCCCTCAATTCACATGTTATTTCTAAGCTATTATGATTTGCTTTGATTTTTTTCTTTAATAAAAGGGAAGATACTACATTATAGTACAAAATGGAAGTCACAATATGTCTGTGATTTTATGGTATGACTCAAAAGACTTACTACATTGCTTTAAAAAAAATCACCATACTACTGAAAAAAATCCAACCCTGAATATCTTTCACTTCCCATTCCTAGTACCCCTAGGGCTATGCCTTGGCTTGCTCTGATAGCCCCTCAAACCTGAACAGAAGGGAACTTCTGTGAATTAGTCAAGGTCAAAGCTGCTGTCTACCTGTCTTCTATTACTAGTTTATTCATTTTACTAGGTTTGCTTCAGTATGATAGGTTTGGAGTAGCTAGCTGAAATTAAATTAAATTCAGTAACAAGGTAGTTATGTAAAAGATGTAGTCCCAGAGATTTGATCAAAAGCTCTTCTGCAATGTATAGAACTTACTGATAATGCTGTCTACTGGAAAGAACAGTGGGTGACCAATGCTTTTCAGGTGCTCTCTAACATACTAACTAAGTCATAACATCTTAAGAGGCAGCCATAATCGTCATTTCCACTTTTGACACAGAAGGAAACTGAGGCTCAGGAAATTAAATAATGTGCTGAAGGTTGGGAAGAGAACAGTAATGTCAGTGATAAAACTGCACTCTCTTTCCTCACATCTTTCCATCTCTCCTGGCTTCCAATTTAGCGGAACTTAACCCCATATCCCAGGGGAAAGAACATGCTCAGAAACAGATTTTCAAAATATGTATTTGTTCCAAACATTAAACACCATTTTGGATACCTGATCATAATTAAGTGTTTTGGAGACTGACTTAGAAATGAAGAGAATTTTTCCTCTTTCACATCCAACCACAAACAGGAAGCCTTCTGCAGTCTAGGATTAAAAAAAATATGTAAAAGTACATAATTTAAAATATCTTGTCTCTCTTACACTCAATCAGATTTTGAGGCAAGTACTGTGGCAATAAAACTAACAGAGGGGTTCTATGGTTAGTAAAATTAATTTAATTTTGTTAATATTTAAAAAGATGTATAAAAAATGTCAAAGTGAATTCCAGTCTAAACTAAGTTTTTTGATATGGAAAGTTTAGAATATTTAGTTGAGACATTTCCTAATATAAAAATCACCTTAGCTGAGCACAGTGGCTCATGCCTATAATCCTAGTTACTTGGGAGGTGCTATCAGGAGGATCGTGATTTGAGGCCAACCAGGGCAAGTAGTTTGCAAGACTCATTTCAACTAATAAGCTGGGCACAATGGCATGCACCTGTCATCCCAGTGATGGCAAGAAGTATAAAATAGAAGGACCATGACCTAAGCTGGCCTGGGTAAAAAAAGTGAGACCCTATTTCCAAAATGACCAGAGCAAAAATATCCAGAGTCATGGTTCAAGAAGCAAGCACAAAGTTCTGCATTCAAACCCCAATACTACCCCCAAAAGTCACCTTTTCCAAATTCCACTATACTAAACACAGAAGTTCTGTAAAGTTATCAAAACATGGGCTGGAGCTATAGCCCATGCTCAGTGCTCGCCTGGCACACACAAGGTCCTGGGTTTATCCCCAGCAATATCAAAACACAAGACAGCAACAACTGCCTATAAGTGTTCTGAGGCACAGAATGACTGTGCAGATGGGAAGGGCTGAACACATTTTACCATACAATTTTTCATACTTTTTGAATAATGGTATCAACCATTCAAAAATAAAATTTGAAAATTCTAGCATGGCATGTACTCCCGTAACATCTATTTAGCAACACCCCCCACCCCAAGCTGCCTGCATAGACTTGAACACGGATGCCTAGGAGCATGAGCTGGGCACTTGCCCATGGCGGATCTTTGACTCATTTTTTAATCAACTGGAAACAAACATGAGGTGAATTAGGCAGACACTGTGGGGGCAGACCCAGTGTTACAAAGTTATGATTGGAAAAAAAAAACTTAAAAATTGGTGAGAAGGCTTCCAAAGCATTCTGTATAATACTTTATCTTTAAAATTGTTTTGCTATCTCTAAAAAATCTTTTATATTTCTCAGAAATATTTATTTAAATTTAACTGTTCAAATAAAAGAGTAGCTTGCTAAGAAAAAAAATAACAAAAAGAAAAAAGAGCTGGGCACCAGTGGCTCATGCCTGAATCCTAGTTGCTCAGGATGCAGAGATCAGAGGATCAGAGTTTGAAGCCAGCCTGTGCACATTTTCTAGAAAATACCTAACACAAAAAAGGACTGACTGAGTGGCTCAAGTCATAGAGTGCCTGCCTAGCAAGCGTGAGGCCCTGTGTTCAAACCCCAGTAACTCCAAAAAAAGAAAAATGAATAAAAACATCTGTGAAGACTCTACTTAATAAGATTATGGCTTAAAGCTCACGTCACAGCACATGACCAAGACATTTATCACTTGTCAGAACAAGATAAGTCAATTTTATTTCATATTTCATGTCAAAGAAACCTCCAGACCAGAGAATCTGAATACCATGCATGTGAGGGATGAGGACACAAATGTCAGAGCATCAGCTAACAACTAACAAGTGGGAAGTAACCATTAATCCTCAGAGAACAGGGTCTGAAGGAATAGAACACCAGGTGGTGGCTGTGGAGGCAGTGATCACAGGAACAGAGGCTGGGTAGGGAGTTAGAGTGAAAGACACCTTGCTCCACGTTCTAGAAAGTGCCTGTTTTTTCATCTCTACTTTCATTAGTGCACACTGATATGGCATAATTCTTTCCATGTCTTAAACATCTACATTTAAGGAAATACAGTGTCCTGTAGGTTGACAACAGAAGCAAAGTGAAGAAAATCTGCCTCCTGCTCAAATAAAAATGAAAGGACAACTTAGACAAATATGTCTCTTTACTTACCTTAAGAATTAAGTGCCTGAGCTCATTATCTTGAATAAATGCAGGCCTGTAATTATCTCCTAAATAAGAATTTGTCATGCCTAAAAATAAACAGATGAAAAGTTACAAAAGGTATCGGAGGGAAATATGAGTGCTCAGTAAACATTAGCAGCGATGATGCTGCTGTTGACAGTGATGATGGTAGGGGGTGACACTTCCTCTTCTTGAATGTTCTAGTATTCTCTTTTAACTACTGTCATTGATGTTACAAGAAAAAATATCTTGCTTTTACATTGTAAGTTCTTGGGACTACTTATTCCTTTATACTCAAATGTGCCACAATAAGAACTTGAAAAAGAAAGTGTTACAATAAAATACGTATACAAACATATTCAAGAATTTATATCTACTCTGGCAATTTCTATGAATTACTCTGAACATGGAAATTCTGGAATTCTAGACAAATTTTATGGATTTATAGTATTTCAAAGTTTAAAAAGTTCCTTTAATAATCACATGGAGAATTCTGTTCTACTAATACAAAAATATATAAAATATAAATTAAATACCTCATTTTAAGCCCTTAGTTGAGTTTAATTACACTAAAATGAAAGTATCTAAAGCAACTGAAAGGTTGGCAAAAAGATAAGAAATTCATTAGGATAAAACTTAGGTAAATGTTTGATCTGAGACAAATGATGAAAAAATCAAAACTACATCTGGGTATGCACCAAGCTAGACAAGTCATAGCCCTTTGTGGCCACAAGGGGGCACAGAAGCTAGGCCATAAATTCAGGTGTACCATAACCAAGGAAAGGGCGATTCCAAAGTCAACCAACTTTTCCTCCTTTATACTCTTCAACCTCCCTCATCAACATCCTCTTCTGGTGGGGGCTGTAAGAAAACATGCATGCAAGAGAAAGGTGGGATAACACCCTAAAGTGTGTGTGTGTATGTGTGAGAGACAGAGACAGAGAGAGAGAGAGAGAGAGAGAGAGAGATCATCTTTGTCTCTTCTGATTAATTTTGATTTGATATGAAGTCTGTTTTATCAGATATGAATATAGTTACTCCTGCCTGCTTTGGGGGTCCATTTGCTTAGAAAATTTTTTTCCATCTTTTTACCCTAAGCCAATGTTTGTCTTTGAGATGCATTTCATGTAGGCAACAAATGGCTGGGCCTTGCTTTTTAATAGAACTCTTCTGATTGGAGAATTGAGACCATTACATTCAGTTTAATATTGAAAGGTATGGAGTATTTCCTGTCATTTTGTTGTTTTTGTGATGTTTGCTCTTTTGTTAATCTACACATCTAGACTTATTCTTTCCTGTATTTTCATGGTTGCATTTATCTTCCTTTTCTGTGTAGGATTTCTTTAAATATTTTTAGCACTGCTGGTTTAGTGGTCATTAATTCCTTTAGTTCTTGTTTATCATGGAAAGTTTTTAATTTCTCCTTCAATTATGAAGGATAGCTTTGCTGGACATAGTAATCTAGGTTGACAATTGTTTTCTTTCAGGGCTTGAAATGTATCATTCCATGTACTCTTTGCTTTTAGAGTTTCTGCTACAAAATCTGCTGTTACTCTGATGGGTTTGCTTTTATACATGACTATTTGCTTTTCTCTTGCAGCTTTCAATATTCTTTCTTTGGTTTATTTAATGTTTTAACTATTCTATATCTCAGAGTGTTTCTTTTCCTATCTTTTCTGTTTGGTGTTCTGAAAGTCTTCTGTACCTGGATGACCTTCTCTGTCACAAAAGTGAGGAAGTTTTCTGCTATCATTTTAATGAATAGACTTTCTATGCCTTTAGCTTCTATCTCTTCTCCTTCTATACCCAGGATCAATAGATTTAATTAGTCTATTGATGGTGTCCCAGAGGTCTTACATGTTTCATTCCTATTTTCTTAGTATTTTTGTCTTTGTCTAATTGATCTAATTCCTCTACTTTATCTTCAATTACTGATACTCTATTTTCAATTCCTTTGAGGATTGCAGCTGAGTATATTTGAATTATTAGCTTTCCATTTCTAGGATCACAGTTTTCAGGATTCCTATATCTTTATTGAATTCCTCTTTCATATTCTGCATTGTCTTATTTCATTCAGCTGTTTATTTGTACCCTCCTAGAATTCATTCAGGTGCTTATACATGTACTGTTTAATTTCACTGATTCTTCTTAGCATTGTTTTTGTGAATTCATTGTTGAACATTTTGTCTGCTTCACTATCATTCAAATCCTTTCTTGTGGAATTGTTGACTTTTGGAGGGGAAAAATGTTTCCTTGGTTTTTTCATATTACTTGTTGGGATTTATTTATTTATTACTATTGTTGAGATTTATGCGTATAAGACCAATTCTTTGGTTGGAAGTTTTAATCACCTATAGTCTTTCTGGTGAAATATTCTCAGTGTTCAGGCAGGACAGTGTACTGGATAAACTCAGGTGTGATTTCTCACCATTGGACTGGGAATATGGTTCAGTAGCCAAGCACTTCCTGCTTGCTCAGTGTACCAGGTCTGATCCCCATCACGGCTCAGATTGAGGGTGACTAGTTGGAGCCTCTTGTAGAAGGATTGGTTGTTTACATCTTGGCTGCTTTCACTATAGAAGCTTCCCTTCTTTATGTACTGGGAACCACTACTGGCATTAGGGAGCTTCATGGCCTGTTGGTTGGCAGGTTCCAACTTGCTCCAGATTGCCTCTGGTTTGGCCCCCAAGGACAGCAAGCATCCAAGCCTCAGGGTAGCCCCTGAATGCATCAGCAAATGGGGGGAGCAAACAGAGCACTGAGTTCTGCACTGGCTGGGGGAGAACTGAGAGACCCAGATACTCTACCTGCTGGTCTCAATGCTTACAGACTCTGTCCAGCATTCACCTCCCTTGTGGAGAAGGCTGTGGAAGTTTTGTGATCAGAAGGCCTATACTCTGGGCCCTCAGTCCTGTCAGCAAACACATGCCAAGATGTAGTTTCTAAGGGCCAGCCTCAGTGCTTTCATGCCGTGCTCAGTAATTCACCTTCCTGTGGGTGGGAGGAGACTATAGATATCACATGATACAGAGGATCTGGACCCAGGGCTCTGATCCATGTAGCCGTCAACACATGTGCCAGGAAGCAGGCTCTGGAGGCCAATACTAAGCCAGCCACAGGCTGGGTGATTTGTTTCTGCTTGAGCCTCAGCCTCTCCTTGCCAGGGAGGCTGGGGCCCTTCCCTGCCACTGGAGCTCCCTCCTCCTTGAACTTCTCTGCAGGACAATGTCAGACCCTCTCCTTCTCCTTGACAACCTCTCATGGCCATCTTCCAAGACACTGTGACAGGGTGTCCCAAGACTCCCTAAGTCCTAAGTGTTCCTTGTTTTCAGGCCCCCATAGTATCTCAGTCTCAAACAACAGAACTTCTCTAAGATGGTACTTGCTATCAACATCCAAGATAAGGGGGAGCAACAGAATGTCTTTCTTCATTGAGGCTAGCCTTCCACCAGAACAATCACTGACTCACAAATCCCTGCATTAGGTTTAAGGCTTGCAGGAGGTGTGAGTTTATTGCAGGTATAATTCCAGTCTGTCACCAGGGCTGTTTGTCTTCCCTTGTGATGGCATCTTTGGTGTCTTCAGATTCTCTCCCCCACCAACCCTCGCTATCCTCCAAGGAAGCATGGAATCATTTGTTACATTCTCTGTTGCATCAGTTTCTCTGTGCTTTTCTGCCATCCTCTTACCTCTTTTGTGAGTCCTGAAGCTCTTCCTCTCTTTCTCTCTTCAGAATATAGTCTCTCCTGTGTTACCTGACTCTTTCCATTTACGGAGTCAAAAATGGTGGATGTTTCTAATCTGTGCCTTCTCAGGAGCACAGTCTACTGTCCACAGTCCTGTTGACATTCTGGTCTTCTGAGCTCAATTACAATCATCCATTAAGTTCTGCTTAGCACCCCAGGCTTTTGCTAGACCGTTTCTCCAAACCCTTCCAAATTCTTCCCAAAACCCAATTCGAAAGACTTCTGAACCCCTGGTCATGGAGTCACGACAATCACTCTATTTCTCTGGCACCCATTTTCTGTTAGCTACTTTTTATCAATGCGGTGAAAAAAATACCTAAGCAACAAATTAAGGGAGGAAGGATTTATTTTGGCCCACAGTTTGTTTTAGTTCATGGCACCTGGCTCCATTGTTTCTGGGCCTTTGATGAAGCAGTTCATCATGGTGAAGGGCATTGTGGAGTAGAGCTATTCAACCTTATGGCAGCCAGGAAGCAGAGAGAGAAAGGATAGCTCCCCCGAGACATTTTGAACACAAACTGGCCCTTGGATAGCTCTTTAGCCCACACTTACTGATTCCGTAAGTGAGGAGGGGGACCCAGAAAACCAAAAGCACTTCACACTATGATTTGATAAAGTTTTTTCAGACTGGTAGTATCCTGAAGAGTGTGGCAAAAACAAAAGGAGTTCTTCTGTCAGAATCTACCTACATCCTGGGTCTCAAAGAATTACCCAGATTACGTTTCCTGATTATTATGACACAGCAGTGGACTGAAGCAGGAAGGAGCTGGGATGGGATAAAGGGTGCAGACTAAGGGTCAAGCCAGGGCACAGTAGTGAAGCAATTCTGAGCAACATGGGACATTTCCAGGTCTGTCATGAAGCAAGGCTGACAGAACACACAGTAGAAGTGAGCTAGGGAAGCCTGGGTGGAAATCTGCCAGAATGGGTGCACTGACCAGGTGAGTGAGAGAGGACATGCTAGAGAGAAAACGAGGGTAGTGCAGGTAGAGCTGAAGCTCTGGGAAGGTTGGCTAAACACATGCATGTTGGGATATTCTGTACACCTGCCCCTGAGATCTAATATATGTGTTCTCAGACTTCCAATAGTAAAAACAAACAAGGCAACATGACCCTTTCCCTTTTCATGATGTACGCTGGTGGGGAGGGGATGAAACTGACAATAAAAGCTACTAATACTCTTACCACTTCCTCCCCAATCAATGAATCATTGCATTCATTGTACCTCCCCCATCTATGCATCATTATTTATTCTTACCAACAAACCCATGAGGCAAATGCATTATCCCTATTTTAGAGATAAGGAAATTAAAGATTAGAATGTTAAGTAATTTGAGTATGTCACATAGCCAGGCTTTGAATCAGGGGATTTTCCACCAGGACTTACAAGCATGAACCACTGTACTTGACAGCCTATGGTAGCAGATAACAGACACAAAAATGCCCACAAGCTCTATAAAAGTGCACCCTACAGAGCTGGGCTACTCAAATGTGACAGATCTAGAGATCTTTAATCAGCAAAGTATGAGATGAGGACAGAACTTAAGAATAAGCAAGGTACCAGTGGATCATGTCTGTAATCCTAGCTAGTTGGGAGGCTGAGATCAGGAGGATTGAAGTTTGAGGTAAGACCAGGTAAACAGTTCATGGAATCCCACTTCTAATATTACCAGAGAAAAATGGACTAGAGGTGTGGCTCAAGCAGTAGAGCACCTGTTCTGCAAGCATGAAGTCTTGAGTTCAAACCCAGTCCCATCAAAAAAAAAAAAGCAATTAGTCACTTAAGAAATATGAATTTTTTCCTATCATCCTAGCTCTTGGTCATTTTCCCAGTAATGAATTACATTTTATAACAGACTTGAGTGGTAGGCAGGGGCAGGGGTACAACTGTTCTCAAACACTTAGTTTGAAAGACACTGCTGGGAGTGTAGTGAGAAAAAAAATCATTTCACTATCCTTTTGTCTTTAAAGTAATTCTGCTGTGGACCAAAACACCATAATCTGCCGGCAGCCATCTGATGATCTTAGGAAACTGCTAAGGTCAGCAACAAACATACACAGAACCAAAAGGCAAGGGCTAAGGACTTCCTTTCCTGATGTCTCTTACACGGGAGAATACTGAGATCAGTAAAGTCTGATGCATCTTAAGGTACTACTGACAAATCTGCATGAAATGTTAGAGAAATTGCTGACTTGAAGAATATTTCCTCTTCAGAGAACAGAAATGCCCTAATACTTTTAAATTATAACATAACACTATACTTCAAAACTTACAAGGGCAGGTAATGTTCTCTTTATGTCATACATGGAACATAAGTACAAATGTCTTAAATGCCTTTCAAGTTCACACTGTAAAAATGGGATAAATCTTTTATTACAACCAAGTGTTCTGACATCAAATGTCATATATTCTTTATATACAGACTATGTATGGACAAGAATCAAAATTAATGTCTACAAAATGGATAAACATATTTGTATAGCATCTCAATAGCCACTAACAACAATACAAAGCAATCAGAGACTAGACACTACAATCTTTCTCACACTCACCTTTTAAGGATCTCAAGTGCTGAACAGCCATTCTTAGAACTGTGAGTTTGTCGAGTTTCTGTGTGATGGGATTGCACCACGGGATCATTGTGGACAGCTCTTCAATCAAATTATTCATTTTCTTCCTCCTCCGCTTCTCTGTTTGGCTATGAGCTTCTCTAAAAGGAGAAAGAACCTCCTTTATATTTAACATTCAGCAGACCCACAGACTCACGGTTACTCCAGAGGCTCCCTGGAGAGGTGCTCAGCCCAGCAAGCACACAATGCACTCCTCCCAACTCCAGCCCTGCAGTTACCACTTAGGAGAGAAGAAAGAGCTGCAGTCAACAGGAAAAGCCCTTGTAAAATTCAGGTTTGTTTTACCACATCCATTGCCCTGGACCAAACCCTCACTTACTGATTTCCAGAAACCCTTGGGAACTCAGACATCTGTCTGAGAGCCATGGTGGCTGTTCTACCTCCTCCGATCACAGAGGCAGAGGTGGCATTCTTCTGTTCAAAGCAAACCCTTCTCTGGTATTTGGGTGGCATCAGCAGCATCTTAACCTCATCCTTGTTAAACTAGTTATTATGGCTCTAGAGATGAGCTCTAGTTCCTTTCCTCTGAAAAAAATTATTTTCCTAATTCTAGTTTTAGTGCTGCTGTTGTTCTTGCTGCCATCTCCCCTTCTCAGCAGGCTCCTGAAAGCATGCATTTGCCACTGAACTTTTCATTTCCCAGGCATTTCTCCATCTTTAAATCAACCTTTCAAAATCCTTGCTATTCTAGTAAGAATCACCCTTCTCATGCCATTCCTTGCTGGTCCCCTACCCCTCCTGTGTCAAACTCAACAGTGGACATTCCTCTCTCACACTTGGCCTCTGTGACCACTCCTGCTCTGCTCCATCCTTCAGTTTCCTTACCCAGGTCCTCCATCCTTACATGCTGGTGCACACCAAGGTCTCTTCTCACTCTGCAGCCCACCCTCAGAGACCCCTTCCTCAAAGG